ACTCATGGATTCAAGCAATTCATATAAATGGCTTCGTGAGTCAAAAAACGGTTCCTGAATCTTTGTGATCAGTGTCTGTAAAACTTTGGTGTACTGATATTTTTAGGGAAAGTAGCAGCACAAGACTTACTTTCAACATACCATTTAGTAAATAAATAATTGGTGCTGATGTTGTATAGCATCTGAGGCTCAGGAGATCAAAAATTAAGAAAGGATGAAATTCATTGAAACGCAGTGTGTGCTGCATGTACATCCTTCTGACATAGTAGTCATCCTAAACTCTTGATACAGAAAGTGACAACAAATGTGCTTTTAAGAAATGATTCATTTAATCCATTTAGTGATCTGCTTTAGGGTGTGATTCCTTTCATTGTAGACGCCTTTGGAATTACCAGAATCTCCATTTATCAGGAAGGGAGAGGGGAATGGCTAGCTGCCTGTGATGAGATGAATCCTGCTCAAAATTATTTCAGATTTCATGTCATTCAGTCTAATAATACAAGGAAGCTTTTTGTACAGATAGCATCATAACTTTTGTTGAAATAAGACATTGAATCTTTATCCTCTGCAGTAGGAAACTCTTACAGAAATTAAAGTAAGATGAACTAGACTTATACATTGTGTATAATCTAATTGAAACTTTATGGACAGAATGAATTGCTTAAGGAAGCAGTAGTAGCTCTGAAATGTGCTATTTTTCTTTTATTATGTTATTTCTGTTTATTACTGTTCACAGTAACATATGTGAGTTTTTTATAGTATGAAAGGTCTGTTCAGAATCTAGTTGTTATTCAAACATCTGTATTGCAGAAAATGAGTTTCAGGAGTATAGATGAATGCTGGTAGAGTTAAGGAATACTTTATTCTGGAAACAGTAATCACACACAGGGATTAAATGTTGCTAATGGTTAGTAAAGCTCACCCGCTAGAGCGCCCACACTCAGTAATGCTGAAAAATGAGCTCATAAAAAACAGAGATGATGCGAATTAAAGGAAGTACAGGTAGATATTTTCTGTGATACAGCGTTATAACTGACTCTTGCATATCTTTCCTCAGGCTGCAGTTAGGTTTGCTGCCAAAGTGCGACCTGTTGAAGTCCTGATTCCTGATTCTGTCATGTGGCAAGTTGTGCCTTTTAAAGCTGCTCAAGAGCTCATATTGCAAACTGAATCATTTCAGTGATGAAAACTAACCCCGTTTTGAGGACAGGTGATGGTGGTAGTTGTGTTAAATCCAGAGGTTTTTGTTATTTCAGTTTATATTTAACTCCCAAAGCCTTGCTGTTGTAACTAAGGAAACAACAGACTGTTGAAAGTATCATAGTGAGGCAGGAGATGACAAACTGGTTCCTGCTCTCAAGCTAGAACCTCATGAAACTGGACACTTAGTTGATCATTAAGTGCTTTCAAAGTTTTTGCTTTCTTCATAGTGAGAAATTGAGAAAAAGAAATTACTTGCCATCTTTGACAGGGTAATGCTAGTGCCAAAAACATTCTAGATTTTCAGTCTCTGTCAGTGCTCTGAAAAGTATTAATGTAGTAACTATGTTTTTGTTGTTGTTGTTGTTGTTTTATAAACTAGCATAATTAGATTGTAATCAGGGTTTGTTTGTATTTGCACTATGACAGTTTTGCATCCATTTCCTACTAATGAATAATTCTTACTTGTGATAAGTTCACTTAAGGCTATGTATCTATCCAAGATCCTTGTGTTTGTCTTTCAAGATTGATTTTAAAACCATAGAATCAAAAATTAGTTGATCTGTTATTGAGGAAGTGGAGCAAAATTGCTAATGAATCTGCATTCATTTTATTGCAGGTGGTGTGGCTGCAACATTAATAAGAATATTTCTATGAGCTTTTATGCTATTGATTGCTGTTTGACTTATTTCTTAGGGGCTTAAGCATAACTGATTTTTGCTGGAATTTTTTTGACAGGTTGATGTTTGTGTATACTGTCATCTAGAAATAAATCTCATATTGAGTTTATAAAGAGGGTTGAAAATGTGCCAAGTGAACAAATAATTATGCATAAATCCTTTCCTTGCAGTTGAGTGTTGTAGATCCTTACATTCACACAAATTACGTTCTGTTACCCCTCTTAGGTTTTCCTGTTTCTTCCTTCTCTGACGGAGATGGAATCTTTTCCTAGAATTTGGAGAAAAGCTAAGTCAAACTGGACTGAGGTTTTTCACTTCAGTCATTCTTACTGCTTCCAATGCCACCAGCTAGGTTGGTGTGCCACACACTAAGAAAGCTCTTTTGTATGTGTGAGGTTTTTGAATCTGAAACCAAACAAAAACATGTCTGTTAAAAGCTGTGATTCTTGAGGGAGTGAAGGACTTCCATGGCCTGGGCCAGACTTGTGGGATGAGATGAATTCTTGTGCACAGGGGCTTAGCTCTTGACTGTAACTTAGTACTCAATAGAAAAACAGCCTGTGAGAAGTTGAATGCTAGAGTTTGCTGTTGGCAGATTGTATTGCAGAATGACTATTTGCTGTGTTTTGACACTTTTTATTGCTCTAAAAATTGATTTAGCAAGGAGCATTGAATATAGGATTCATTAGGTACAAAAACACTTCTGTGGATATAGGCTATGTCCTAGTGGCAGTTTAAATAATCGTCTCTGTAGTGTTTCTTGTTTTGTTTAATAGAACCAGTGAAGAATCTGGTTCAGGTGCTGTGGAGGTGGCAGTTCTTTAAAGCACCTTTTTGAAAAATACTTACAATATATTTAGCATTCAGACTCTGTAGTCTCCCATGTGGATGGGGCACAGCTGGTGAATAATTTACTGCTTCATATAGATTAGGGGTAGGCAGTTTACATATGTTCATAGATTACTTTTTCTTTAACCTATGTTGAAGAGATTAGGTCACTGTGATGGGATACTATAAGCTAGAATAAGTAATTATGAAAAAGTGTCAGTTCTCAGCAGTAGTCAAAAAGAAAACTAATATGGAGAAATACACAACAAACATTATTATATTTGAGTGTTTAGATTTTAAGAATATATTATAAAATATCAGCACATTGTTTATGTATATCTTGCATGAAGTGCACGCTACTGTTTCCCTTCCTCAGTTTCAGAGAAGGGGTAGTAGAAATAGAAATGTGTAGAGAAAAGTGAGAAGAATGGTAAAAGATATGGAATCACCTTTGCACAGGGTGTGACAGATTAGGGCTTGAACTGAGTTATACTGAAGAGAGTGTCGAATCATGAGTCACGTGAGGCAAGGTAAATAATAAAGGTAATAATAAAAGTCTGATAATTCTTGTTTTGGAACAGGCAGTAAATGGGAAGATGTAGATACTCTCAGGAGGTTCAAAGCAAGAGGAAGTGGTTCTCATACACATAGTCAAGTTGTGAAACTCCTTGTTGCAGGATGTTCTTGATACTAAAAATTGTCTTAGTAAAGCTGCATGCTGTTGGGGAGCGGGGGGCGAAGCATCCAACAGGGAGGGGGAGAACATCCATCAAGGGCTGCTAAATGCAGTCACCGTTTGTGACTGCAAACGGTGCAAAAAAGCATGAGCCTGTTGAAGCTTGAACCTGATAAAAGATATGGAGAAATTCATTATGTATTGTTGCATTTGCCATTTTCTATGCTCTCCCCTGAGCATCCTCTGATAGTTGCTTTCCAGGTAGCATATTGTTCTAGGGGGGGCCTTGATCTAGTGTGTGTGTTCTGGTCTAGTTTGGTACTTTCTGGAACAATATTGGGTTGGTTAAGCAGGGGGGTGGGAGAAGCTTCTGTAAGATGAGCAGTGTGGGATTTGTCGGGAAGCATGTGTGCCAACCCCAGTCCTTTAGAGCTGCACAGCTTCTGTGTGCAAAGGAAGCTATGATCTGCAATTTTGATACCATGCATGAAAGCCAGTTGCTAAAATATGAAATGCTTGCTGCTGAATGAGCGCAGAATTGGCCTTCCAGAATGAGCAGCCTCTGCCTGTTAAATTGTCCAACTGAGGGAAGCTCTTTTGTGTATGTTACTCTTCCGCTTTATTGGGCTAGCATCTGCCTAGAGCTTCCTTTAGACCTAAGTATGATGAGTTGTTTGGAGCATTGGATGTGCAAAATGCTTGTTGCCTCTCCTCAGTTCCCTTTCAGGTATCTATGAAGTATTTTTTTCCTCCTCCTCTAAAATTGTGGTTGCTTCCTTTCTATCTTCCTGTTTGTCCAGTAACCCCTCTTAACCAGATAGGCACAAGAAAGACCGAGAGGAAATCTGTACTAGTTGGGGTGTTCTTGCAAGAGTAATAGGTATTTTGGAGAGGCATTCGGAAGTGCAGTTACCAAATGCAGCAGGGATTTTAGTAGTGGCTTTCGCTTCTCTGCAGCATGTACTGCAGTATATGGTGTGTATCTGTGCAGTGCTCTACCTTCCAACATCTATGAGAATAGAATTGTTTGGGCATGAGAGTGTATGATATACTTAGTGTGTCGTATAGGAAATGTGTGATGATTTGAGAAAGAGGTCTTTGCTATGCTTTGTCTGGTGGAAGCTTCTGGATTTGAAAGGCTATATCCTAGGTTTGCTAGAAAATTCCTCATGTTTTTGACTGTTGGTTTTAAGCTTTACTCATTTTCATTCTAATTTTATGGGCAGGTGTTTCCCTAGTGTAACTCGCGTAGCCAAATCCAAAGTAACTCTTCAAGAAAGACTTTTCTCAGTGACAAATTTTGATACTATTGGATCTATTTGGACTCTGGACTGTTACTATGTCACTATGGACTGTTTTTTGAAAGATCATCTGAAGTACAATGCTTAGTTGTTGATTGAAATAGTGCAATTAAAAACAAATGAAACCCTAAAAAAATCCCTACAAATACATCTTTCTCTTCCTCACCCCCAAAACAATTAATTTGTTTTTTCTTACCTTTTAACTTAGAAATAAAATTTATTTCTTTAGAAATAAAAGCTTTATGTAATTGCTCCTATGCCCCTTGGTCGACTCGTGAGGTTTTGGAAGTTGATTATCTCATTCAAATTTTATAGGGGTGGAGGTCTCAGACTGAACTCCTATAGACTTTTTGGAAACAACTGGTTAGAGAAGAGTTTATATCATGGCTCCAGCTGAGAGGAGCAGTAAGGTGAGCTTGTTAAACAGCTGAGAATCCTTGCAGGACCCCAACCTTGTAATTGAATCCATGTGCAA